AAAACGTTCTACTTCATAGAATCAAGTATCAACACAACCCTTAAAATTTCTAACCACCGTAATCGACAATCCTAGACATTGAGCGAAAAATAAAAACGAATAACGCATTCATACCCGGTTAACAACGTCCAACAACGAACGCTCAAATTCGATCCTATTTCAACGACGGTGCAGAAATCTTCAAAGACGATAAAGAACCGCTGGAACGCTGAAGAGAACCTTCGAAAAATATTGTACACGATTTGATATAACGGCCAATGATCTCACGTAATTTTATTCCGTGATTTTAGGCAACGTATCAGCAAATCTCAAATCACGTAGTAAAGGAAATAAATGCCTTTTAAAAATAAAACAGGGGTATTAAAGGAAAATTATATAATATATTTTGCCAAGTTGGCAAAATTGGATCTATCTCAAAAAGGGGAAAAAAATTGGATCTACCTCATTAGAAAATATGAACAAGGGGTTATCCCTAATAAACCCTTATAATAATTTTTATTATTAAAAAAATTGGTTGACCGATATTACTCGATCAACCGACTAAACTGAAAACCACCGACTAACCTATTTATATATGGATTGGTTAAATTACCGGTTCGGCAACAAAAATATCAACTTAAAAAAGTTGATTGGTTGGCCGATTAAATTGACCCATGCCCAACCCTAGAATTAATAATACTGAACTTGTAATAAAATAATTTACAAAATAATATTTCAATAAAAAAAATAATGTTATATCAATATTACAATAATCCCCTCAAAACCTTTAAATTTGTAAAAGGTAAAAAAGATGTAGAAAATTCCATTTAGTGGTGAAAGTGTAAGTTTTGAATATATCTCTGTATTGTAATAGAAATCATAGAACTTAGGGACTAAGTTGAAACATTTATAAACTAAAGTGCAATCAGAACAAATATAAAATTGTCGGCGTCCACCAGCCCTAATCCCATTTCCGCCGCGACGAACACAGTCACACCACGAACACCGCCAGAAGCACCGATTCTATACCGTTCCGTCCGATTAATCGCCGCCGCGGTACGCTTCAGCCGCATACATTGCCGTTCCGGCTGTTAAATCGTTTCTATTAGGTTTCAGAACACGCCACAGCAGCCGCTATATGCCGGAACTTTGTCGCGGTGGCCTCCGTTCCGGTTCCGCTAATCTCGCTCCGGCCGCTACAGCGGCGCTCCGGTGAACAATGAGCAATTCCGAGGATACGAAAGTAAATTACGCCGCGGAGGATTACGATTCCATTTTATCAGAGTTTGATCGGTTTGCAGCTAAAGGAGTGGCTGATGCAGTTGGGTATGGGTACCAAATTGGGGATATGGTTTGGGGTAAGGTGAAATCGCACCCATGGTGGCCTGGAATCATTTACAATGAGGCGTTTGCATCTCCCACTGTTCGGAGAAGCAAGCGCGAGGGTCATGTCTTGGTGGCGTTCTTCGGGGACAGTAGCTACGGGTGGTTCGACCTGTCCGAGGTGGTTCCGTTTGAAGTGAATTTTGCTGAGAAGTCCTCGCAGACTTCTTCGCGGGCTTTTACAATTGCGGTGGAGGAAGCTGTGGATGAGTTGTCAAGAAGACGGAGCTTGGGGCTTGCCTGCCGCTGTAGAAACGAGTTCAATTTCTGGCCCTCGAATGTCAAGGACTACTTTGTTGTGGATGTAGGGGCCTACGAGCCCGGTGTTTACTCGTTGAATCAGATAAATAAAGCGAGAGAGAGCTTTCGGGCTAGAGAGATACTTTCTTTTGTCAAACGATTGGGCTTGACATCCATGAACGACAAGGAGTTCG